CATGTGCAAGCCAAGCATGCCTGTCACCATCACAAACCAGAGGTGGAGACAGGAGAATGCCCGGGAGTACCCATGTCAGTCCAGCAAAAAACCCTGTGCCAAACAAGGTAAAACATGAGGATCAGCACCCAAGGCTGTCCTCCAACCTCCACGTGTATCCTGTGGCATGTTCACACAGCCATCCACAGAAACTAGCACACTCACACAACCAACTCACATACACGCTCAGGCACAAACTCACATACAAACACACACACACACAAACTCTCTCACACACTCAGACACAAACTCACACACATACACCAACTCACACCCACACTCAGACACAAACTCATACATACACACACTCTCACACACACTCTCACACACACTCTCACACACACACTCTCACACACACACTCTCACACACACACTCTCACACACACACTCTCACACACACACTCTCACACACAGTTAAAGTACAGCTGAATAAGATGCCATGTTCTTGGAGCTAGTAAATGGTAAGAGCGAAAATCAGAGTTCTGACAGCCCAGAAGAAAGTTAGTAAAGCTTATGCACAGATGAATAAATGTCAAACATGTTCTAGGATTTAACTATCATTATTGGAAAGTTTGCGTTTCTCGTACCTTGCAGAAATGTCTTCCTTTTCCCTGGCACCATAATGTAAAAAGCAGCCATAACTCCATATATCAGCGTATGTTACGTTAACTCATGTTTTTCATCTGTCTTAGAAATGTATGATGGGCTAGGACAGATGCCTCAGTCAGCTGAGGATTTGCCTCTCAAGTCTGAGGGCCTGCATTTAGATCCTCACAACAGCAAGATTGGAGGTCAAGGCAGCTGGATCCTTGGCTGTTCCCAGGCCCAGCTAGCCTGGCCTACATGGCAAAATTCCCGGCCAATGAGAGATGACATCTCAAAGAAAAGGTGAGACTACCAGAGAATCAACATTTGAGGTTGTCCTATGAGTTCTGTATGTGCGCTGTGCATACTCGCTATGCACAGAAAGCACGAACCTTTTTGTGGTGATATTGTGCTTGTGATCTAACAAAGCTTGCCTGAGGATCAGAGCACAGAACTAGCCACACTAGTCAGCCATAGAGGCCAGGCAGTGGTGGCACACGTCTTTAATCCCAGCACTAAGGAGGCAGAGGCAGACAGATCTCTGAGTTCAAGGCCATCCTGGGCTACACTAGGTTGATTCAGTCTCAAAGAGAAACAGAGCCGGACAGTGGTGGCTCACACCTTTAATCCCAGGGAGACATAGGCCCTTAATCCCAACACTAGAGAGATGGAGACAGGAATGAATATGGCTGAGCAGAGAGAGGGATGTAAGGCAGAAAGAGATAGGAGCTCAAGGCATTCAGCCTGAGGATTCGCAGAGACATGATCGCCCCTTCAGTCTGAGGATTCAGTAGAGATAAGAACTCATGGCCGGCTGCTCTGCTTCTCTGATCTTTCGGCACTGACTCCTATATCTGACTCTGGGTTTTTAGTCTTAAGACCACTTAAAATTGTGCTACACCTTTCTCTGAATAATCGCTTAGGAACCACAGCAGAGCTCCTAGGCAGTTTGCCTGTGGCCTTCCCCCAACCTCCAGTAGCTCTATGCTCCTTTGTTCTTTAAGTCCCTGTGCGGATTCCACCTCTCTCTCATCACCAGGGACTTGCCTTGTTTCGTAAATTCTCGGCTTATTTTTATCACACAAACTACATTGTGCAACACTCAATTTATTTTCCAGTCTCTTTTTTTCAAAAATAGGAACCAATTTGATTGGATATGATAGCAGGAGAGGCAGAAATGGAGCAAAATTTTAAATGGTGAGAAATCTGTCTCAGTTCCTGGGTTTTGAGAGACAAACTGTGAATCTTTTGCTCACTCTGTACTGAACTACAAAAGCAAGATGAACCAAAAATCTTCATTGACTTGTATACCTGTCTGCTTGCCTCCAAGTAAATCTAGTATTCGTGAATTTGCCTATTTTATTTTTGTTATGGCTATTCAGATTAATAACCAAAAGGTTTATATAAGTGTAAGTATATACCCTTAAAATCTCACACTTCTTGGGTATTTTCTTTTTTTTTAAGAAAGGGTATACGTGGAGCTTCTCTGTGTCTCGGCAACCACTCCCACAATAACCACATAGCAGCTTAATGTTTATTATCAAATGCTGGGCTGATAGCACAGACTTATTACTAACTAGCTCTTATAACTTAAATTAACCCATTTACATTCATCTGTGTGCCGCCCCAAGACTGGGGGCCTTTACCTCTCCTGCATGTGCTACTTCCTTTCTGTCTGGCAACTCCTTAGACTCCACCCTTCTTCTTCCCAGCCTCCTCTGTGTCTGGCTGTCCGGTCTAACTACTGGCCAGTCAGTTTTTTAATTAAATTAACCCCAGTGACAAATCCTCACAGTGTACAAGAGGATTATTCTACAATAACGGGGTCTCACCATGTAGTCTTGACTTGGCTCCATATGTAGACTACCCTGGCCTCAGACTCACAGAGACCCATTTGCCTGTCCATCCCAAGTGCTGGGACTAAAGGAGAAACCCTCTGATCTTAAGAAAGCAGGGAGACAAAGCTGAGAAACAAATCTATTGATTGATCGTTCCTTATTCTGTGGCATAAAAGTGCACAGCGTTTACCTGAATACAGACTGCAAATTCCCTGAGATCAGCAGACCCAGGCACCACCTAGTACCAGAACACAGTAGGTCCTTAAAAAAGTAGATCTTTGATAAGTATATGTTTGTTGACTCTATAGATCTCTTTCATAGTCTGTTCATTAAGTTTTCTACACACACACACACACACACCTGAATCCTTAGAGGAAAAATGCTGTGCTTGATTCGCCTCTGTGCTTCCTAAAGAGATCAATTGCTTAATTGATCATTAAACAATCATCAAGTTGAATTAACTGCCATCCATTACCTTTTCTGCCCTCCTCTGGCCCTACCTTGTCCATTTGACTCCCAAACCAGAATCCCGCCAAGACTTGCACCATCCGAATCAAATACTGAAACTGGAAAGCCAGACGCCTTGAAGTCCTTCAAATCAAGCTCGGCATTAAAATGTTAAATATACACTACTCATTTTGTGAGTAATTTTGTGAGCAGCTAACTGCAGTCCCAGGGGGGGATAAAGCACAATCTTAGCGGGTCTGGTCGGACACACCGCGGAACAGATGTCCAACGTGTCGCCATGAGCCTAAGTTGTGAGTGTGATGTCTCTGTTTGGAGGGCCAAATACACGAGAAGTGTTTTATCCGTCACTTGGGTAACTTGCTAGATGGAGGGAGAGCAATCTGAGGAAGGCAGGAGCTCCGTCTAGCTGTGTCTCCCAAGCAGCGTTGGAGAAACACAGATAATCTGCTTGCAATAATTCATCAGGTCGGTCCTTTGTTTCATTAATTTGAGTGTCAAGTGCAGCCATACAATAAAGAACTGCCAAGACCCGATAAGATTCTCCTCCAGCTGCTGCTTTCCCTGCCCAGACAACGGGCACTATTCATGCCCACAGCACAAATTGAATAAAAAGCTAACTGCACGGCTGGCAATGTTGGACAGTGCTTCGAATTTTTTGTATTTTCCCTGAAAGGCTCCATAGTGTGTGTTTCTGTCTCCTGAATGTTCATTACTGAACCAATCATTTTAACTTTGGTAATAGAGCCTGGAAGTAGGCCTCTTAAGTTAAAAATAATACTGGCTGTATCACCTGTCCAGCGGTAGACTAGGAAAGATTAAAAAAAAAAAAAAAAGATTGCAATGCCTGTCCTGGCCCCGAGAAAGAACTCCCTGTGCCCGTGGTCCAGGTGGGCTGAGCATCATCCCTGCCTTAATGTGATCTTTAGCCTCAGTGCTATAGGTCCAGTGTGAAGAGAGACACGGAGACAACTGTGTCTACTGAACAATTCCACAAGAAATATGTTTTCAGCTAAACAGCTAGCTCAGCCATGCTCTTATTGGCTGTAGGGATGAGAGCAGCCTTAGAACCGGCCAGATACAAACAACACTGAACAGTGGTCAGATTTTATTTTTTAGTTTAATCTAAGTTCTGAACGTAAAATCGTGAATGTCAGTGGATTACACAGCACAAGTGAAGGCACCAGGTTTATATGATTAAAAAAATCATGTTTTTAATCTTCACCAGCTAGTACATCTTCACTGCCATTAGGAAGACTCTGAGGTCCTGGTTAATCACATGGGTAGGATGCACTGACTGTTTCAGAAACTTTGAAATTGTTTAAGTAAGTACTGGGGACCTCAAAGGTTGAGTAGAAATATAAATTGTGTTCTTGGAAGCAAATGATGAATGAAGTCATTTACATGAAAGAGTACGGTCCAAAGGAAGCATGAGACTAACAATTTGTCAAAACAAAATTAAGGAGGAAAAGGGTATTTGAAAACAACTAGAAATTGCACTGACATAATTTTTCAGAAAAATAATTCTATGGTAACATTTTCCAAGCAGCAAACACAAAATGCAAATATAAATAGATCTATTGGCATTTGGGAAGTTAACTTGTTTTTAATAGAATCATAAAACTGAAATTTTCGTTAGTAAATTTTCAAATGACCACCATGTTCAGGATCGAATTGGGTTCTGAGTCCTTTTTAGCTTATAAATCTCCAAACCAAGAAGTGGGTACACCCTTGTGGTTAACTGTCTCGCCCCAGAAATTCCACATCACTGAAAAGATGGTTTGGGGGCTGGGAGGGGGACTGCAGAGGACTCTAGGACCCAGCAGGCGGCGGCAGGAGGCAGTGTGTGGATTGCTGAGACTCGGAGGGTCCGGCTCAGTTTTAATTCTCCTCTAATCTCTGCCACAGCAGCGCTTCCCAGGTCGCGAGGCTTCTGCTCCCGCTCAGCTGCACTCCAGCCGCCAGGCGAACATCCGAGGCGCCTCTGCCCCATCACCCACCATGGACAGCCTCCAAGAAAAAGTGGCTCCGGACGCGCTTGCCTGAGAATTCCGCACAAAAGAGGCGCTCAAAATGAAGACCTTGATGGTGAGTCTGTTGTTCCAACTCCGCCAGGCAGAGGCAAGGACCCCCCGGGGCTCTATGTCCCAGGGGATGCCCGTAGCAGCCTTGCCGGGTACCTAGCCCTGTGGCAAGAGGTCGCCTGTCATGGGTGACAACTTTCCACCTGGCTCGGAACCCCGGGATAAACACTAGAGATGCCTGGGCTGCTGGATCTTTAATGAGTGATCCAAGGAGCGACTGGAGAGCAGAGGAGCAGGCTGACCTCTCCGGAAAGGAAGGTGCCCCACAGCCACAGCCACTGCTGGACACAAACTCGGAGGGGCAGGGGGGCGGGGAGAAGGGACCATCATCGACTTTCTTGGTTTCCTCGTCGGATTTCAAACTTAGCGGGGATCGCTGCGGGAAGCCCCGGGGGCCCAGAAGAGATGGTGTGCTGAGGGATGAGATCCCAGCAGCGTAGGTGGGGACCAGACCTTCCTCCCCAAACTGCCCAGGGCGAGCATGCTCACCCTCACCGCAGGTCACTGCGCGTGCCACCACTGTGAGACGCGGGCTGTGAGTGCATCCCCGGCAGGTGTACTGGACCTTGTCACCTCTGCTCCCTGGCTGCGGGGGGTCTGGGGGCGGCTGCCCGGGACCTGCGAGTGTCAATAGGAGCTGCAAGCTTCCCGGCTGCACGCTCAGTGCTCAGTCGCTGTCTTCTCTCTCTCTCGCCCGCCCTCCCGCCCGCAGCACCATGGTCTGGCAGTGTGTTTAGTGCTCACTACCATGTGCACCAGCTTGTTGCTCGTGTACAGCAGCATCGGCAGCCAGAAGGAGAGGGCCCCGCAGCAGCAGCAGCAGCAGCAGCAGCAGCAGCAGCAGCAGCAGCAGCAGCAGCAGCAGCAGGCGACTGCCGGCAGCGCGCAGCCAGCGGAGAGCAGTCCCCAGCCACGTAGAACCGCCCCCGCCGGACACCCGCAGTTGGATGGATACCTTGGTGTAGCAGACCACAAGGTGACAGCTTGTGCGCCATCCTGCCGGCCACCGCTTGGCCTGGGCACCCTGTACACCTGACCGGTCCTCTTTGCTGGGGCGGTGAGGCACAGGAGAAGGTGTTAGTTCGGAGGCTGGAAGGTAGTGTGCACCAGTTGGGGCAGGGAGGGGTGTGTGCTAGCTATGAATTGCTATTCCGAGGAGGATGCAAAGTTCATCAGGGAATAGGAATGAGGTGAGTGGACCCCAAACCTCAAAGATCCTGGACTAGAATCCTGAGCCCTAGCAATAGCAGCTACTGATGGATGTCCAGTTGCTGGAGCCTGGCGTATTCTAGACTAGTACTGCGCGGGTGAGAGGAAACATGAATCCGCAGGGTCTAATACCATGGTTCCTCCTGCGCTTCCAGAGGGAACAAGAAAGAGCCCCCGTCACAGCTCAGTCCACAGTTCCCCTCTGATGTCTGCTGGGTACTGCTCTTGGCTGAAAGGCCCCAGCCCCTGGGGAGCCCAATTCTGGCAGGCACAGAGGGCTGGAGGCATACACAGCTCCCATTGGCTAGAAAGCCTGTTTTCCTTTGCCTTCCGGGAAGCCACTGCATGGCTTGGCTAATAATTAATAAGCTGGGTTTTTTTCCCTTTAAATTGAACCTCCTTTCCTTAGACTAACAAGTCTCCGGTTTCAGTACAGGAAGCCACTGGGAGAAACCAAATCAAGTTTCCTGATTCCAGTGATATTTTAATACAGTTTAAATTCATCTCTGGTTATTTGAAATTGCTAGTGTGTTTTTATTAAACACACACACACACACACTTCCACTCTGTGTCTATAAACCTAGAAGATGACTTGAAAGCTCTCAACTCTTACTTTTACTGCATTTTATGATTGTGAACCAAAGTAATATTTGCAGATGTTCCTTCTGTGTGAGAAGATTGCTCTTGTCACACATGAGTAAGTCAGACTTTAAGTGACAATCCAAGTGTTGTCACTCACCTGTGCTGTGTAGAATGCTACAGATGTGAAGAACCCAAAGGGGCTTCATGCAGGACTCAGCTTTCCCACCTCTGAGTGTCAGATAAAAATAAGGCGTGCCCTGAGATGTGTGGAGCAAGATGAGCTGCTAGGTGAAGCCGGCGCTGGCAGTAAACGGTGCTGTGGGGTGCACCGAGGAGGAGCTCACATCCTCTGAGAGTTGTAACTAGGGAGACTTCTGAGATGTGAACAGGAGGAGGCGCCCATTTGGGGTAGACTTAAAACTCCAGTGCAGAGGCTTAACAATTATGGTTTCGGTTCGCCTTGGTTGCTGATTGATTTCGTGCTGGGGTCTGCATGTGCGGGCTGCTGATAAGGCCTGCAGGTGTGGGGAACTTTAGCCCTGGCTTCTGCCTGGGGATGGATGTGGCGTTCTGTGTGGGTCACTGGCATGTGATCAATAAGGTATGGTGGTGGATTTCACGCTTGTTCTTTAGTGGGGACCCACCTCAAATTTTGGAACCATTCATGAACAGGGAATGTCTAAAGATCAAGACCCTGCAAGCTCTGATGGACATGGGATGATATTCCTAATACTTTGTTTCTTCTGGAACCTAGTGTTCAACTATCCCCAACTAGGAGGACTTAGAGTTTAACAGTAATCTTTAAAAAAAAAAAAATGCTTATGCAAACAGGTGTGCTGTTAATATTTTCAGGGTATCAGGGCCTTGTGTGATTAGGATGAACAATGACCTTTCCGTGTTTTAAGAAATGCTACATGCAAATGGAAATTCTTGGCAGACAGTGGTCTTTCTCTGTATAAATTATCCATATCGATGCAATTCGTTCCTTGAAAACCACCATCTCCCAGTATGCACACTCTGGCAAACCTAACACTCTATGGGCTAAGGCAGGAGAATGGCAAATTTGAGGTCAGTCTGAGTAACATACGGTACCTTGTGCCAAAAATCCAAGAGAGACAGGAAAGAAAAAAGAAAAGGAAGGAAGGGGAAGGAAGGAAGGAAGGAAGGAAGGAAGGGAGGGAGGGAGGGAGGGAGGGAGGGAGGGAGGGGGGGGAGGGAGGGAGGGAGGGAGGGAGGAAGAGACGGAAGGGAGAGAGGGAAGGGAGGGAGAGACGGAAGGGAGGGAGAGAAGGGAGGGAGAGAAGGAAGAAGGGAGGGAGCTGATGAAGGAAGGGAAACAGAAGGAAAGGAGGAAGGGGAAAACAATAAGGAATGGAGGAAGGAGGAAAGGAAGAAAGGGGGAGCAAAGAGGAAAGAAGGAGGGAAGAAAGGAGGAAGAAGTAGAAGAAGGAATAAAGGAAGGAAATAAGAAAAGAAGGAGAAAGAAGGAAAGAGGGAGGGAAGGAAGAAGGAAGAAAAGCAAGGAATAAAGGGAGAAAAGAATGAAGGAAGGGAGAAGAGAGGAAAGAAGGAGAAAGGAAAAAAGCAAAGACCCACCTCACAAGTCCCACTCCGAGGCTGCACCAGAGCGCAGAGCCTGGTTGCACCAGGCAAAGCAACAAGTGCAAACCCAAGACACTCTCCATCAGTGGGGCCATGTCCCTTTGTCCCAAGGAGCTGAGGCCAACCTGCCCAATGGCCCTCTTTACCCTCTGTGGCTCTGGCCAGCAAATGGACAGAGCTCCCACTCCCAGGGGCCACCTGAGGCACACACCCCTACGAACACCTACAAGCTGCTGGTGGCTTCAGTTTGGCTTGAGACTGTCCACAGTCTCCATCAGGTAAGGCTTGAAATCATTTGTTAGGGTGTCTCCAGAGAAGAACTTTACTCCAGTTAACACGGCAGGGGGTAGGGAGCAAAACCTCTCCTGTCCCAACCACACTGTCACATGGCACCATGTCCCTCTTTCTCTTCTTCTCTCTCACATCAGGCCTCAGAAAAATCACACATACCCGGAATGAGGCAACCCCAAAACCATATGCCCCTGCATCCTGATCAGAACTCCAACGGACACCGAGTTTACTCTTGATTCATAGAACCTAGAGAGACCTGTAGATACCATGAAGAAACCGTTCACATCTCCACAGCTCCAGGTCCCAAAGACAGATAGAGATGTGGTGTTTATGTGCATTTACACGACGGAATTAACATTATAACTCAAAGATTAAATTCAACAGGTGGCCCTTATCCCCAGCACCCGAATTTTACAAATTGTAGGTTGTCTGCTTTGATAGGCTTGTCGCCTATGACTGTGGACCAAATTATTATTGAGATTAAATTATGGTGTGCTTTTGTTAAATGATAGGCTGAGTCAAGCGGGTGCATGTGAAGATTAAAGTATCCTTTTGTCTGCCATAGGCCCTTCTCCCTCTCCCGCGTTCATAGACAAGAAGATAGGAACTGTAATCCCGGCAGGAGTACACACACAGAAGGCCAGGATGCTGCTTTTCTGCCCAGTAGAGCCGCCCTCTTTCCCAGTCTCTCCTCCCTCCCACTCATTCCGGCCCCATTGGGTCTGTGTCCACACAGTCCCTGCATCTGTATTTAGTGATTATCCTCTGTGTTGTCAGTTTTGGAAGCCACTGATGGCTAACATGACTGCCCAAGTACAAGAGAAGAAACCAATTTTCATATCCTGGGAAAATGTCCTTATTATTGTAGCATAATGGAACGAAACAAAATAAAAACACCCAGAGACCACACACATGCACATATACATACATGTGCATTCTCTCTCTCTCTCTCTCTCTCTCTCTCTCTCTCTCTCTCTCTCTCTCTCTCTCAACACATTCAATCAAGCAGCTCTCAGAGGAAGGAACCAAGTCTTCCAGCACCAAGAAAAGAGAGAGAACTCAATTCTATTTCGAGCCTAGATCTTTCTAGGTAGATAAAGCCATTTTCCATCTGGTAGACCTTGGGAATTACAGTGCAGCTAGATTCCCGCTTCACAGGCCCTTATCACAGAAGGCCCACCTGTCTGTCACCTGCCCTACCCTTCTCGGCACAGGCTAAGGAAAAGGTGGTGAAATGACCCTAGAGCTGAGCTCTACACTTCACGAGCAGCCTCAGGTGGTCGTTGCCACAGGCCGACAGCATGTTTGGACCTGCGCTTTCCTTTCTCGGGCACTGTGTTATTTGGTATTTTTTGGGATTTTGCTGTTATTATTAATATGCAGATGTCCCCAGGAAGTATGGACAAGTCAGTTCAGCAACTAAAAATAATCAGGAGAAAACCAATACATCCTCTAATTTCTTTCAAAGCTATGGGCGCTGGGCCCCTCTTTAGAAAGTCTATAAATGCTTAATGACAGTTGACACCATTTATTAAGCTCCATTTGATGACATTTGAGTAATCCAATCAGTGATAAATCATTTCAGTGTCCAGAAAATTCTGCGTGAGCTAATTTCCCATGCTCAGGTACTAGCACACCCAGTCTGCCAACACCGATGAAATTACACAGAAAAGGACCCACGAGGTCAAGCAGCTTCTGCCAGTGAAGAGTTTCAACAGTGTGGGCAGGTGGGCTGGCTCGGCAGGGAGAGGCACCTGCTGGCGTGCCCTGAGTGCATCCTCGGGACCCACGTGGTGAAAGGAGAGAACGTACTCCCGCAAGCTGCCCTCTGACTTCTAGGGTGAATCACAGTGCATACTCACATACTCACATACTCTCTCTCTCCATCTATCTCTCTCTTATAAAAGTAAAGGGTTTAATTTTAATTTAAAATTTCAATAATATGGCTATTTTTAACAGAAGAAAGATTTGTGTGACAATAGTTAAAATACTGACCCCCCCCCCCACACTGCTGTGCCAGATAGGAATTTTGCATTGGAGGCAGTGCCGACCATCCCTCCACCTCGTATCCTTGGTGAAGGACTTTAGCCTGCTCCCTGTGAAGTTTCTTCCTTCAGGATCTGCCCTCCTTCTCATGGGAAGCCCCTCCCCAAAGTCTTTCTTCTCACAGGACCTCAGGTGATGTCATCTTTTAATAAGCCACGTTTTTTTCTTTCCCTGTATCTCATAATACCTTAATTTAAGTAAGATGCCCTCTGAGGAGAATCTAGTGTTGTCGCAGTAACGTCTTTG